CCCACACTCCAGAAGATCCTCGGGGGCCTCATGAGCAGCGAAATCTTGGGGAACCTTGAGGTTAAGGCCACACCAGATGGAAGACGCGGTCTGGCCAAAAAGCATCATCGACTCCTTGCGAGGGCCAACCCCGGAGAATTCGATAAGGCCAAGAGAGGACCTGTTGGTTTCTGAGGGCGAAGGAGGACGAGCATCGTCAGAGCCCTTGGTAGCGTGGACATCTTCATCCTGGAGTCGACGAACCTCAGAGTTCAGCGGAGGAGAAATAGGGGGCTTGTTCCGGGAAGAGGGTTTCCGCTTCAAGGGACTCCCAGGCTCACCATCGGAGTCGTCAGCCACTATGATGGCCTTGGAGGCAGTACCATCAACGCGCGGCCTCTTTGAAGCCCCGGCCTCCGACGCATCGTCTGACCGCCTCCTGCTCGCCCGAGACTCGATCTTGGGGACGAGCGGCTTTCTGCCCTTATCCTGGTCCTTGTTTTCGCGGCCAGGGGCATGCGAAGCAACGTTGGTACGTCCCATAGATGATGTAGATGGGAAAACTCCTGCAGAAGAGGAACCAAGGCGTTCAGAACCATAACAAGAAAAGGATGATAGAACAATGCAAGTACAAACAGACGCACCTAGTCCGGCCCGAGCTTTGAAAGGCTCGGCCACCAGTGACTGGTGATTCTGGACGCCAAGTCCGGCTATGCGCTTGGCATAGCCAAGCTCCTCATCCGTCATGGGTGGCGGAATGGACTTCACCGGATAGGCGTTCCACCTATCGGAGAATGGCATCGGGGAGCCTACTTCGGCGAGGAAGAACCGCTCCTCCCAGCCGTCCGGGTTCCCGGCGTTGTTTGAGAACAGGACCATGGACGGACGTGCAATCAGGGTTAAGTACCCCGTACGTCCGAAGGGGGACAACCGGAAAAAATGGTGCAACAAGTCTACGGTGGGGGTCACACCAACACTGTGGCACCTAACTATAAAACCCGCGATGATCCTGTAAGCAGCGGGGACGAACTGAGCAGGCGTCACTTTGAGGCTCCTAAAAAGTTCTATATGGAAGCTATGGAGGGGGAAAAGAAGGCCAGCTATAACGGAGTCTAAATGGACCACCACATAGCCGGGCAGATGGCGCATTGGGTTGCGCAGACGACGGTCGTCGTAAACCCTTGGGGGGAGGAACCATTGGCTTATCAACCGACGGTTTGCATTCAAAAGACGCTGGCGCTGACGACGAACGCCGGAAAAATTCAGGTGATGACGGGGGGGCCAAGGTGGCATACCCCGTTCATAGAACTCTAGATCATCACCGGAGGAGCACCCATCGTCAAACCTATCTTCGGTGGACGACGAGCTGTTTCGGGTCCTTGAATCAATATTTTGGGGTTCCAACCCAGACAAAGACATGACGACGTTCGGTACCTACGAGTGTTGGGGCCTGAGGCAATGCAGAGAAAAGCTAGAGAGAGAAAGTAGTTGCGCAGCACAAGGACTAGAGATGAAGCGTATGGAGAACCCGCAAGATTTTGGGTACTTATAGACAGCACCGTGGGATCGCGCCAATCGCGGTGGAACACGTGGCGCCTGGAGACCGGTACCTACCACGGTATTTAAGGCGCCTCGATGTTACCACCCCATAGTCACCACAAGGGAACCCGGTTTGGTGCCACGAACGTCCTGCAAAAGACATAGAGGCGCACAGAGACCGCATCCACCGGATGAGCTCAAAATCGACAACCAACGGGAGACGTGCGTATCCACGGGATGCGTTCATATTTCCATGCTTTGCACCACCAGACGAACGTCCACCTTTTGCACACGGCACAAAAGGTTACGCTACTCCTAATGCGACGAACGTCTCTATCAGCGGAGTTTGTCTCTGGGGAGTGCGTCCGTATCCCCACACCTAGTTATGCAGGCGAACGTCGCCCTACGAAGTTTAAGTTGGGCACGCGCCGCATGGATAATTATGCTTATACCCACGTGACGGACGTCTCTACCAATTTTGATCCTGAGAAGTACGTTCGCATCCCCGTACGTAGAATTGAGTACGTACAGCGCGGGAGGTGGGAGTACAAAAACGAAAGGTCGGAGTACAAAAACGAAATATGGACATGAACGTCCTCGCGAACTTGAGCTATATCCCAGAAAATCGAAATACAACTAGCCGTGAAAAGAATAAGACAAGAAGAGTTCATGAACGTAGAGACAATTATGAAGCGAAAGAGTTTATGTATTCATCGGCACTACTGGCCGGGAAGTTACAATGGAGAGGCAACTAAAAAAAACTACATTAAATAAAAGTTGGGGAAACAGGCCGGGACCCCCCAGGAATGGTTTCTTCTTCCTCTTCGGGCTCGGGCTCGGGGGTCGGAGGCTCCGGGACCTCACCTCTGGCTTTGGCCTCTTCCCGCCGGGCGTCCCGCTCCAACTTGCCCACCGCTCGAATCAGCTCCGGGTTCGTGGTGTGCTGGGCCAGGTTGAATCCGGGGCCCTGAAGGGCGGCGAATACCGGCAGCGTGGCTTTCACCCCCTCGTTATAGCCGATGACGAAGGAGCTATCTCCAACGTCATACAAGAAACTCTGGAGCAAGGGAGCAGAAATTGGGAACCCTAATCCATAGGGAAAACCCGGCATTTATAGGAGAAGCATCGATGAGGGAACCAACGAGGGGATGACACGTAGCAAGGAGCATATCCCGGCTCACGCGCTGTGCGTGGGGTGAAAGCGTAATGATGACATTTCCTCGGAAAATGCACCGTCGCGAAAGCAGCCATCACCTCGGTTCCTGAGCCATCGACAGCTGTTAAGCATCATGACCACGAGCGTACGCCTTCGCCGAGGGACAGCATACCAGGGTACGAACGTCTTACCTCGAGGGACAGTATACTTCCTTATGTCCTGTGCATGCTCAGAACATCAGAAGTGGGGGACTTGTGTTGGGTTAATGGCCCAAGTTGAGGTTCGGCCCATTTACCCTTACTGCCGGACGTACGTCCAGCTAGATCACTAAGCTAGCCTGGCAAGCCCATGTTCCTCCAGGAGGGACGAACGTCTGCGGTTGGGGTTTAGGCTCAACGGCCCATCTCGACGAACGTCTATGCTGGGATAAGGAGCAGAACCACGGGCCATCAGAATGACGACGAACGTCGTCAGAGCAAGCCCATAGCCATCGGAGGCAGTCCAGTCCACAGGGCGAGAATCTACAAAGGCAAGGGGACGAACGGCCAATACTCCTTGGAGGCCACTTGGAGCAACCCAGCGCGCTCCCCGGGCGGACGAACGTCCCCACTAATTAGGCGGGAAACCTAGATTCTGGCGGGAAGTGCATTTAATGTTGAAGATTTGGTGGTTGGGACATCAGCGGACCACAGGCTTCCACGTCAGTGTAGCCACCTGCCCATTGGTGGGTATAAATAGAAGCATTTATTTCATTGTAAGGGGTTGGCTACTTTCTATTCTTAGCACTCTAGCTATAGCATTCTTACTCGCAGCACTTCTACTGCCTTGTAAGACGAACGGCCGACGAGCCTTAGCGAAAAGTATTGTATTAGGGAGTTATTAAGAGATAATAATACCTAATCACTTACTTGCTACTTACTGTTCTCCTTGATCCATATACTTGTTAGTTGGGCTAGATATTCACACACTCCACTCGAAATCCTTGGGCTTACGTGTTAGACCCGAGGGTTGAAGGAATAAACCTCAACATTACCCATCCATCCCAAAAAGATTGATCAATTTGACTTTTCTTGGTCAATGGTGTTAAAAATTAGAAAATAATTTTAAGTATTATATATGTGTGTAATTTATAAATTTTATACTTTTATGAAAGATTTTTTAATAAAAAATATGCTCATATAATTTTCATATTTTAAATAATTTTGTATTAAAAATATCATTAGACAAACTTAACTACCATTGATCAAGAAAAATCAATTTAACCAATCTTTTTGGGACAGAAGAGTATATTCAAATCTTATCTCATAGTGATCATAAAAATACATTCATAGTAAGGGGAAAGGTGCAAATAGGCTCATGTATTAACTAAAAAAGGTTAATGGGAGGTTCCCGGTGGAATTTTTTGATGAAATTTTTTGAAGATCTTATTCATCAAGTCTAGTTTGCTCATACCAAATTTCAGCTAAAACTTCAATCGGGAAGGCATTCAAATTAGGGATGGACTCGGGCCGGGCCAACAGGCCCGGAATCGGACCGGCCCGCTACTGTGCGGGCCCGGACCGGCCCAGTGAACCGGTTTGTGCCCGGTTCGGGCTACCCGGCCCAGTGGTATAGCGGTCCGGGCCCGAGCCTCCAGTTTAGTGAACCGGCCCGGCCCGGCCGGGGCCGGTTCGGGCCGGAATTTTTTTTTTTTTTTTTGAAATTTTTTTAAGTTTTGGGTTGGATTAGGTATTTTGGGCCATTTGAGCTGGTTTGGGGTGGTTTGGGGTGGGAGGGAGGGGTAGGGGGTTAAATAAGAGAAGAAGAAGAAGAAGAAAAATAAAAATAAAAATCCGGGTGGCCCGGCCCGGCCCAGTCAGGCCCGGAACCGGACCCGGAACCGCCCACCACCGGTTCGGGCTCGGGCCTCATTTTTCTGAACCGAGGCCAGGCCGGGCCAAGGCCCGAACCGGGCCCGGTCCACCCCTAATTTAAAATGAATTCTTGAAAATAACTACGCAGTTAGAAGCGCATTTATCTTCAAGAATTCATTTGAATGCCTTCCCGATTGAAGTTTTAGCTGAAATTTGGTATGAGACTATGAGCAAACTAGACTTGATGAATAAGATGCTCAAAAAATTTCATCAAAAAATTCCCCCGGGAACCACCCCAAATGACGACGGCCGGAATGAACTTCCTAAATAAGGACTTATTTGACCTTTTTTTGTTAGTACATGGGCCTATTTGCACCTTCATAGTAATTCTAGTCGCATTTTTATTAAAATATATTAAGACTTTATAATATGACATTATTAGAAAGGATGGATGAAATAAAAAAATCAAGGACCTGAACTCCAATCACATATTGTAACTTGTAAGGTTGTAGTACCATAGGTCAAAAAACTATGTAGATCATTGATTTTGGGTGACCAATAAATCATCCACGATACTACAATAGTGTGCCTCGTCCATCATTACAAATCGAGATCATTTGAAATTAATGAATAAAATAGATGCCCGAAATTTTATTTACAAAACATTGGGCTTACTGCCTCTCAACTAGGTTAGGAAAACAAGAACAAACAAAATAATGAAGATTCCGATCAAGAATAAAATCATCATAATCTGACCCTTGAGAGTGGCCTTCTTCATAACCATAGCAACCCTTTTCTGCAAAAAAAAAAAATTAACAAAAATCTTTTAGTGCAGAATATTTAATACTGTTATTAATGAGTTCCAAATAATGACAGGCATGAAAATAAAGGAATCCCTTTTCTGGAGTTCAACCTCCACAAATTACATCAAACGTGACACAGAATGCTTTCCCCAAGTACGATATTTGTTAGGGGAACAAAAGTTGCGAACACAATACAACATTTGGTTCGAGTGGAGTGAAGGGAAGGGGGGAATTTTGCTCATCTCCCCTTGTCTTGTGTAAGGAAACGAAAAGAGGGGAGGAAAGCGTATTTTCATATTTCCCCTCCGTACAAGTGTAGTCCAAGGGCGCTAATGATGGACAGGGATGTGAAGCTAGGGTGTTTGGGATATTAAAAAAACTAACTTTCCGCCCTAGGCAAGGAATGTCACTAATGGTTCCCCTGGAGATTGAAAGATTAAATATTCCAAAGCCAATTATTAGGCAAAACACATATTCCTAACACAAGAATAGGAAAGAGCTCTAAACTATTACAACTCAGGAATAAGATATGATTAAAACATGGAAAGCTAAATAATACTCCCTCCGTCCCAAAATTAACTTCTCACTTTCCTTTTCGGGCAGTCCCGAAATTAACTTCACACTTCAAAACTTTCCTTATTTGACAAATAATCTACATCAAAAAAGTGTCAAACAGTGTTAAACAGTGCCAGACAGTGTCCAAACAGTGTCAAACAGTGTTTAAACAGTGCAAAACAGTGCACTCCACAGTAAAGTCAAATTTATTTTCTTAATCTATATGAAGTCAAACTGTGAACTTAATTACGGGACGGGGGGAGTAGGTAACAATTGGGATAAGGAAAGTTGATTCAATACCAACGGCCAGATTAACTTGTGGACCTATTAATTAGGCAAAGCTAATAAATAGTAACGGCAACTATAACTTGTGGACCAACTAATTAGGCTCATTTATGTCATTGGTAAACACTGCTGAAAAGACTTGTATCGTTACTCCCTCCGTTAACAACGAGCTTTTCCTCAAGCTCAAAATCCAAAAAGGCTTCGTGAAATGCAGCATAATTTTTCCAGGTGGCTTCTAATTCAATTTTTGTGGACCAATGTACCAACTTTGAGCTCATACTTACCATCTTTGAGCCGAACCTTCAACACAGCCAAGGGTCAAGCAAGAAGTGGTTTGGTCGCTATTGGTAGCAGATCACCCTTTGATAGAGACAGTGGGAGGCAGTCAGCTAATAATAATAATAATAATAATATTAGCTACTATAGTGAAGTGTACTCTAGGAGAAGAAAGGAAAATATTAAATAGCTGTTGTAGTGTATAATGGAGTGGCTGGGATACTATAAATAGACAGCTAATGTGTAAAAGGGGCACGCTGGTATTCTGTTGGTTGGGCTGGGATTGGAGAGTGGCACTTTTTAACTGCCAAAGACTTTCTCTCTGTTTTCTGTTTATCTCCGATATTGAGAATGTTTCGTACTTTCTTTCTTCTTTCTATTCTTGAATTCACCAAGAATTAGCTAGCAACCTATCACCCTTCTGTGATGGTGTCGAACCTGAGTTAGGATTCAAGAGGGGACGTGAGAAATGTTATGAATGTGGGAACCCTGCAGCAAGGCGAGGCAGTAGGAGGTCGGACAAATGGCTTTGGACACTTGAAAAGGCCCGAAAAACTTAGGAAATAGTTTGTCATTAGTGCAGCTAATAGTCAATTGACAGTAAGGATGAATACGTAGCCAATCCCAGTCCCCCGGAACGTATGTTACTTCGCAATGGCCTCTATGTATTGGAGCTTTATTCGTTGTTGAGCCTGAGATGGGCGGCTTTTGGTAGAGACCGGGACATGTATTACACAAAAATTCAAAAACATCACTCCGTTGACTCAAAACAAGCGAGGTGTTTGATTTGATAATATTTTGCTGTATTTTATCTGTTTGAAGCCGTTTTCATGACATTGGAAAGAAAAGTTAAATTTCTAAAACTCGTATTCGAACTTCATTTGCCAGATACCAAAGGATGGGTATGTATTACTTCGAAATTTAAAAAAAAACTATGTTAACTCCAAACACAAGTGTTTGATTTGATCATATTTCGATGTATTTTGTTCCGTTTGAGGACATTATTATCTCATCAGAAAGCTATTCTAAAATCTTCCCACGGTTGCAATTCTGGCTTTTAAGGATTGGTAGGATCCTGAGCTACTATTTTAGCTTCTATCGTCGTTTGAGATTGCAGATCTGCTGCTTAATGTTGCCGGTTGGGTAGAAAAATAATTCATCAAATCTGCACTCTTTGCTTCAGCGGTCCCTTGTCTTTAGTGTTAAGACTTAAGAGTTTTGTTGCCCATCGTCCTGGATGCTTATACCATTATTAAGAGTTTTGGTACAAGATCTATTCCGAAGCTGGTGATAATGGAGAGAGAGAGGTGTGAAGCTATGGCGTTTCAAATTAAAAAAGAAACCTAACTCCCCGCCCTAGGCAAGGAAGGTGATCTTTGGTTCCACCAGCCGATTGAAAGATTAAATACTCCAAAGTTATTTATTCCAAGAGATAAGCTTTATATAGGGTATAAGAGATTAACTATGATATGGAAGGCTATATAATTTTAAACGACAGGGACAAGAAAGATAATTAAACAAAAAACTGCGAGGATCACTTTTGGACCAAGTAATTAGGCTCCTTTCTAACAATTGGCAGTAATAACTCATTACTAAGTACTAACACATTGAATCTAGAAAAAAGTAAAGGAAATAAAAAATAAAAAAGTGAAGGAAATAAAATACCTGAACAAAATCAAGACGAGTGGATGTACTGTCCAGCTCTACACCCAGTTCATCAATAAGCTTCTCCTGCCAATATTAAACACTAACATTAGCTAAGTATCCTCTCTTAAAAATAAATCAAGTAGTGTGTAGACTACAGCAATCACCTGTGAGAGAAGCTCATCATGTATAGTAAGCCCAACACCTCCAATTCTTTTTACACTAGCGCTAAGCTCATCCAGCTCATCATCCTGCTGCCTGCATGTAAAGCCTCTCCTTACATCATAATCATCACCACCAATTCACTACCTTAATTCCAACTAGTTGGAGTGGGCAGCATTTAGGCTCCATTTGTGAGCCATAATCGGCTTGTATCGCTTATCAGCATAATAAGTACTACGTTACCAAATGATCCCTCCATTTAGTGTCAATTAATTGTCTAAAGTTAGAAAACACCACCTATGAAGCACGGATACTCCTCTAGGGTGCCGTATCAGCGTATCGGAAACGTTCCCGTATCCGATACTCTAGGATACCCGTACCGTACGTTCCCAGGCCGTATCTGTAATTTTTAAAAGTTTCCATTTTTTTGGTAATTATTTTAAATTTTCGGATACTCGTATCCTAACGGATACCCGTATCAACTTTTTTTAAAAAAAAATCTTTTAATTTTTTTTAAAAAAACACTCAAAATTTACATAATAGAATTCTTAAAAAAAAGAAAAACTAAAAGTAATTTTCCCTTGCTTTTATGTGGTACACAACTAATGGGTCTATTCCTAATTCACCCATCCTCCTATCCCTAATTTTAATTATCCATGGAAATTAATAGCTCCAACGACAATATGTATTAGAACTTTTAAAATATTGTTTTCTGTCTTCATTATTCTAGAAATTTGAGTACTTGCACTTTTAATTTTAGTTGTTTGACTTATTTCTCATTTTAAGTTAATGACTTATTAATATGATTATATTTCGAGGTGCACTAGTGTAAATGAGATAAAATATGAACTTATTTCTAAGTATCTTGAAAATATAAAATGCTTCAATTCCATGAATGAGTAGACGTCAGAGGAAAATATATGTCTATTAAAAAAAATTGTATTTTTAATATTCATAAATACACCCTTGTAACTTTTAATATTTATAAATACACCCCCATAACTTTTAATATTTATAAATATGGCCCCGTATCCGTATCCTACTTTTTTGGGTTTTGTCGTATCCCCGTACCCGTTTCCGCGTTTCCGCGTTTCCGCGTACCCGTATCAGTGCTACATAGAACACCACTAGTTCATGCAGAGCAAAGAGCATTTTGGAAAAGTTTTACACGTCCTTCCGCTACCCTTATGTGGGATAGAATCCCAAAACAATTATTATCATGATTTCTTATATTTGCATGGACATTAGAAAATATCATTATACAAAACAAGAACTCAAGCATGGGCATGGTTTTCTTTTGAAATCAGTTCCCTGTGACTACATATAACATTTTATCTTAGCCATGAGCCATCCCATATCACGGGTAAAAAAATCCTTAAAAGAAGCTATCGCAAAGGAGGTTCATAGCAGAAAAATACATAACTTTTAGTGGTCTAAAATTACCAAAGATGGGGAAAAGCAACCTTCATCTATCACCAACTTACAACATATAGCTAACATCCTTATAAAAAAATTGCAAAAAGAATTGGTTTTAATGAAGCGCCTTGACAAAAGCACTAAAATCTATGACTCATCACAAAAAGAAGACTTCTAATTCTATGAAATTCATGAAATTTAAAATTATAATAATAATAATAAATTTCTTTGAGGTCCACTTTAACAGCACTAAATCACTAATAAAGATAGTAAGGATACATGAAACACTCTAGTACTAATGGTCTGCTTGGAAGTTGGAACCAGAAAAGTGCTAGGAAAAGAAAACTTGGAGGTAATTATAGTGGAAATTCGGAAGATAAGACAAATTGATGGGGGGAAAATCAAACTAAGTCGATTAATTTAGACATTTGTTGAATCGTATGTTATATATACACACACATACATATATATAGTATAAACATTAAGAAATCTAAATATGTTAACATTTAAGAAGTTGTAACTTGAAGCCAAACTGATTTCCCTTTGTATTTCTCAAGGTAAAATCAAACAAAAGGGACCACTTTCCGTAGCATTTCCTTTTTCCTTTCCCCACCATTTTCCCGGGTTCCAAACAATGCCCAAAAGATAAGAACTGGTCGGGCAAAATGAAAAGCATGCAGAAAGAGAAATTCCATTCAACTGAGACTGTGAGAGAGATTACTTAATGAGGAGTAACTGTCTATCAGATTCCGCAGATACAAAATCATCACTGTTTGGGTTAGTGCTCCTTTCCCGTTTATCAGTCTGATGTGAATTTGGAAGCGCCATCAGCTCTCTTCTCATCTCCATAACGCTCAATCCAGTTGACTCTTGTCCAACTACTACCACTTTTTTCACCTTCCCCACCTAATCAATGCAAGATTAAAGTGATGGTCATGAAGAAAACATACACAAGCAGCTCTAATATTTCAGCTCGCTACAGAGTACAGACTACAACAACTATGAAGCTTAAAGACTAAAACCGAATATTACTGTTCTAAATTGAAATTCACTAGTAATTCAAAGATATCACATTACATGGCTATGTCTGACGCGGAAGAAAGCTGAAACTTAGTAATAAGATGAAACCTGAAAGGTATTCTTAGAGGTGAAGTGAATCGCATAACTAAGTGTTAATGAAGATTGGATAGAAATTATGTTTAAAACCCACAGAGTTATTGCTGGAAAAAACTGAGCTTTTCTGCAAACGCTATAAGCATCTCCATAATGCTCAATCCATATTACTCATTTGAAATAAACTCTTTTTATAAATTATATTGCTTTTACCAAGCAAAGCTTATAACTATATATTCTAAAATTAGCTCTACCAAATCGAGACATGATACCTGAGTCCTTGCACCATTTGTCCATCTTCTTCGTTTGTCAAGCTCCGTCTCATTAATACCATACCAAGCAGGATGCTTTGAGGCAACTGTAATTGTCTTGTCCAGCTCATCTACCTTCCTATTTGCAAAAACGTTTCTTTAGCATGGGCAGACTAGAGAATACTCTCTGACCCAAAAAATGAATCATCATTCACAGACTTTTTGTCCTAAAAGGAGTCTGGTTTTAAAGTCAAGTTAAGTTTTTATCTAAAATTCCTGTAAAGCCAGACAGCAAGCGACTTTAGATCATTACTCCAAGTCTCCAAAAATCTAAGAAATAAATTTAAGGGGTATAAATGTATAAGCAACCACTCATAACTTGTAAAAGTCAACTCCTTGATTATGTTGACTAAAAATAAATAACTGTATCTTACTAAATAAGGACTCTTTCTTTTCGGAAGGGGTTGATTAACATCTAAAAGGTGCGAGTCAAGTTTATAAGCATCATGTCATGTATGAAAAATATTTATTTTCTTAAAATTTCATTAGGATTCCACCATATAAGTTATCAAACCTGCCATGTAATGCTCTGGCATGTAGCAAGAAGCTCCTTCATGAGATGTTGATACTCTCCACTGCTAGAAGGAATGCGCTCCCATTGATGAAATGAAGACAGCAGCTTGTCAATCTATAAAAAGAGACACTTTCCACTAAGACTTGTGCTCAATTATAGATGCAATCAGAGATAACTGATAATGAATGAAACATTAAGCATCCATCTTGTAGTAGAATTTATTTTATTTTTGTAGCATACAAAATAAGTAAATTAATGATATTGAAAGAAGATCCAGATTCAATTCCAAGATGACTAATAAAAATCAGAAAACATGAAATAAAACTTACAGATTGTTGGATATCCTCCTTCACAATATAAAAAGGGTCTTGAGCTGAAGACATATTGTGGTCTAATTATAGAATGTTTGCCTGAACAAATGGCTTAATTTGAGATCTACAAAACCAGAGACATCGCGTCTCTTTCACACAAATGCCCAGAAAACTGAATATTCAAAAGATATTACTTTGTGATGAGAAAAGGTGAAAATTCGCCAAACGAACAAAAGTAGTCTGCAATGCAATGGGGTATGTTGTAATTTTCAGTAACAGAAATATCAAGATCATAAAACTCTATTGCAGATTTGAAGCCAGAGACAAGTTTCCGATAAGATATAAGATAATATCATTCGTCAAATAGAACCTAGAAAAGGAATGAATACAATGCGAAAGTGAGCTCAACCCCAGACCAATTCACAAGAACTACTGAAGATACTGAACCTAAATGGCCACTTTTCACGAATATTTTGAAACGAGATGCAAGGAAAAGGCGTGAAAACACCAAGAAAAACGCAGTCAGAGAGCAAAGAGGATTGTAAATTTGTAATTCAAATACGGACCTCAGACTAGCAACAAACACGAACGATATCACGAAATGACCAAAGCTCCCGGTATGAGCTCGCTCGTAAGATTTCTTCGGGGCCGAAATATGCTCCCTCCGTAAATGTGTCGAACACTAATGCAATAAAAAACGAGTTTTTTGGTATCAATTAAATAAATAATTCCCAAAATACTGGCTTCTGCCGGGTTAAGAATAATTCCTGAAATACTGTTGGGATTAACCATGGTTAAGCAAAGCCGCCACTCCAAGTGGCGGCTCTTGTACAGGTTTACAAAAGCCGCCACTCCAAGTGGCGGCTCTTATACTGCTGTATAAAAACCGCCACTCCAAGTGGCGGCTCTTGTGTTAAGCAAGCTGTTGCACCATTATTTACACATTAAACTTGTGGTTGCCAGAAAATTTGCTCATCACAGACTCACAGTCCATTCTACTCAAAAAAAACAACCAAACATATGATTTACTAAGACAAAATACATCCGAAACACAAAACGAATCAATGAAACTACATGACAACATACATCCAAAACACAAAACGAATCAATGAAACTACATGTTATGAAACTTTCACAAAACGAATGAATGCACCACAAAACTTGAAATAAACCATAAAAGTTATAATAAATCTGGTGTTTCACAAAATGATTTGATCTGCCAGTGCATGCTACAACTCTCACACAATAATTTAAATACAAAGATCATAAGTCAACGTGATCATCATCATCATGAAGTTCATGTGGCTGTGCTCGGGGACGCCTGCGCTGGTTACGAGGCTGAAGAACAACTCTATCACGTCGGACTGCCTGAGAAGACCCTGCTGCGGATGTAGATGCGGTGGAATGCTGAGAGGTGGCCATATATCCATAATCCACTCGACCAAATACATCAGCGCACAGTGAAACAATGCCTGAACAAGCGTCATGGTATCCCTGTACATCTACTGCCTCATCAAGTACAACAGTCGCTCTGTCATGGATGCTACGCAAAACCCGTGTCTGTAATGCAAACATGGTTATTAGTGAAAAACACATGAATAAATAAAGCTATTTTATTGACTATATTGTTTACCGTCATATGAAGAGCGACTGAGCTAGGCTGGTAATGATCAGTGGGTAAACGAAAACTGGGAGAGATATACACCCGTGTGATGGTGTAATACCATCTCATGTAGTCTACAGAAGCTGTGGGGACTAATGATGGGATCACGTCCACTATATATGCCGCTCTCTCATCCCACATAGTGATATATTGAATATGGCGCATCCCCCAATCTTCAGTGTGCTTCCCCCGTCTATCAATCTTGTGCAAATCCACAGATGTATCACAAGGTCCGGGAGTAACCTGTTGCAACCCGAACTGGCGTAGTACGCGATCAGGATAGTGATGCTCCACTACATCAAAACATATCAAGGGCATACGTGCTCGCCATATCTCAGTGTGCTCTCGGGCAACAGGCGGTAACAATCCTAGAATCTCATCAGTGTACGGCATCCACGTCATCTATAATATAAAATTATGTTAGACCATGGTTTATAAAAACTTAAAACAAAGTACTTACATTTAATGATATAAATGATATACCTGATCATCACACAAGTGATCTAAAGCATCTCGATAGTATCCTAATCCAGCAGCGGATAACGTGCGCGTGACATGAGCAAATAGCCATCTGACACACAATAATGTATAAGAATATAAAAGGGATTCACGTACGTCATACAAAAAAAATCATAAACATACCTACGACCCAAAGGATCCTCGCCACGAACATGATGTGGCCCAAGTACAGCGTGCTGATCCATAGCATCATCAAGAGGACCACCATCTACCCCATGATATCGCAGTATGACAGGTCTGCCGATATGAATTTGCTCCCATGACCATAGTTGTATGAGCAATAAAAACCCACTCATCTCTCCACCGTCACGATGGCAACCTCGACATAACTGCCGATATAGGTATGCTAAAGTCGCACTACCCCAGCTATAAACTGCAGCTACATCAAAAGATTCCAGAATGGGTAAATACAAGACCTGCACCTCATTCCCGCTCTTGTCCGCAAACGTGGAAGCTCCCATAAGCATCAGAATGTAGGCTCTCGCGTACTGCTCCACAACATCGTCATCAGCATCAGCAGGTAAACCAACAAAATGCTCTCTCAACCAAGCCATCCTCAAGGCGGACCCCCGAATATCTACCCCACGGTGTGGCCGTACTCCCAACAATCTGTGTACCAAATCAACCCACAGTCTACATGCAGTCCCAGTAACTGCCTGTGGAGGGTATTGTTCACATTCGGGATCTCATTGTTTATCCTTGGCAGAAACTTGCATCCATCCAAGTATCCGGGAATATCCTATGAGATGTAAAAATCATAAGCTCCTAAAGTAGCTAGTATTGATGAATTTGTTTGTATTAGCTTAGGGGTATTAAACGAACCGAGTTGCGCTCAAACATGGATCCTCAGTTTGAGTTCAACTACTGGATTCAGTACTAGTGGTATTTGGATTCAAACTAGCTACATGAGCTTTATACATGAGGCTCTGATTTGGCTCAATAAGCTCGGTAAATATGCTCACTCATTATATGAATTTAGTTTAATTATGCTCATTGATTGACTTGAGCTTGAGTTAGGGAGTGTTTGCAACTTCTTTTGCTTAATAAAAAAAAGCACTTTTGGAGATGTAAGTAAAAAATGATTAGTAATAAAAGTTGATAGTGTTAGAGAAAAAAGTGATTTTGAAAAGTAAAAGTTGGTAGTGTTTGGTAAAATAAATGCTTTTTGTGTAATAGAAAAGGGAAAAGCACTTTTCACACGCAAGCCGAGAAAAAGTAAAAATTGGTAGTGTTTGGTAAATAAGTACTTTTTTAAGTCAAAAGCTGAGAAGTGTTTTTTTAAGTTGTTGCAAACACTCCCTTAGTCGATAAGAGCTCGTTGTGAACAATCAAATTGAAAGATAGATGGAAAATTATACTATAAGCCATTAAAATTTAACATATGTACTACACTCATCCCACTAACACTGGGACATGAGGAGGTGTCACGGTTATTAAGAAAAGTGAGTTTATTTTTATTTTGTTAATGTTGAATTGTTAAAGTCAGAATAAAGTAAAAATGATTTAGAACCACACACACTTCAACAAATTTGGTATGGGACAATCTTAGTGGGACAGACTGAAAAGGATCGATGAGACAATCTTACTGGATGGAGTATAATTTAGGAAAATCCTTCCAAACTCCAAATAGAGTGAGCTAACAAAAAATGAGATGATTATACTTTATATAAAGCCCTATATACTTTTGAATTGATGAAAAATCATGTATGTACTCCATATTCTCTTATCATCAAACTAGCTATAAACCACAACCATTTGACACACTTGAAAAAAGTCTAAGTTTTGCTTACATCTGCAAGCCTAACATAGCCACTTGGAGCCAAGGTAGCCTGCAATTCAAGAAATAAAGATAAACCAACAAAAAATTGTGGTATGAAAATTGTGGGTTACTTGAACATAGTCAGAGTAGACTCCCATTCCAGAAATAGCCTCAATACCAGCACACCAAGGCCCATTCTGCATATTGAATTATACATATACACATATTAATCAAAATCATATATATAAGGTCCGGTTCAGATGAAAATGGTTACTCCCGTGAGAAATGAGAATGACTCAAAACAAGGCCCATTAATTATAGTTCATAAAATGCACATCTGTGGTTAAGAAAATGGACAGTTCAAATTTGCTGAAAATTTTTAATTGATTTGCAAAATGCCGCAGTTTCTTATTATGTCAATGCACATTTCCGCTTCACATGCACATCTCAAATTTAACACTTGAAAATCATTTTCATTTCTCACCTTCAATTGTATTCTCAAATCCAATATATATAATAAAAATACATATATAAATATATATATATATATATATATATATATATTGAATTTTTCAGTTGAACTAAAAGGTCTATATATATATCATTAAAAGGTGCCTTAGCCTTTTGTTACATTCATCTATCAAAAAAGATTATATGCATGTTGAGATTATAAATAAAAATTATATACTCCCCTCGTCACATAACAATTGGTCAATTTGACTCTTCTTTATCAATAATAAATTTTGGCTAATGATTTTAGTTATTATATTTGTTTGAAACTTATAACTTTCATACTTTTATGAAATTACTTTTGACAAAGAACTTTTTATATAAGTTTTATATTTCGAATAATTTCATAATAAAAATATCAATGATCAAATTTGATCATCATTAATTATGAAAAGTCAATATGACAAGTTTTATAGGAAGGAAGGAGTATATAAATACATGCTTACATACTGTGCAAGCGGGAAGCGAAGAAACGCCTGCGTTTGGGCCACCTATTGATATGAAATTCTTCACCTGTTTCATCGTTCCAAGCCAGATTAGTTATTAGTTTGTCATTTTCACATATGAAATTACTAAATTACCTGGTGAAATTCTCACTGTAATAGTTGAATTTGTTTAATTATGAAAAACTATATACGGAGTATAAACTTTGAAAGTATACTCAATTGATCGATGGACAATATATATGAAGAAATGCATAAATTAAAGTATTATGCTTGATAACTTGACCTATAGTACTTTTGCAAGCTTTTTGCCGCAAATAGTACATTCTGGTATAAAATTCCTTAATATGGACAAATCTATTTATTACGGGACAAAATTTGCAAGCTTCTAAGGTTAATGTACTAAAAATGGGAGTGTGCATAGGTTACATGACTAAATTTATAATTTTATCCCCTACATTTTTATTATTAAATCAATTCTCCATGTTGTTTTTAAATTCCATGATAGGTGAAAGTTCTAATTAAAAGAGCTACTAGTCTACTACGCCAAAAAAAACATACCACCAAAAAAGGGATATGCATGTGCATAGGTTATGGGACAAAATTTACATTTCCCCAATTTTCTCCCCTATTTTTGTATTATTATAAAGAGTGAATTTCCCAAATAGAAGTACGTAAAGCATGGATAGATGAAACTTGTAATTGATAGAGCTATTACATTAAAAAAAACATACCTGAGAAAGACCAACTAGGTTGTAACCATGTTGAAGTTGCGGCATGTCTCTAATCTGTGAAT